TTTAAATCTTCTTCTAAGCTGTCATGTGATTGCAAAGGTCCATCTCTTCTACATCTGTATATGTGTAACCCTACAAAGTGGCTGAATTACACAGAGTTGTTACATCACCCACCAGCTTCCACTGCTGTAGCCATTGTTGGAGGATGGGAGATATCCCTTGCATCTGTGCCCCATTGGGGGGATCTGTTCTGCCCCAGAGACAAAACAGAAAGGGAGAAGACATTTCTCCAAAGTGAGACAACTGGCACTGAGGCTGGTGTCACAACTGAGAGATTTTGGCCCACCTATTCTGGTGACAATAGGAACATTTTGGATTTCCCAGAACTTTCAGTTTTTTTTGTCTTTGCCCAGTTGTGGGTATTGTGGATAGTTCTCTTCTCTTCCTGTCTCATAGGTGCAGCAGGCAGTAAGAGAGAATCTGTACAACATAAAGAGAATTCCTCTCTTAGACAGTTGACACACAGGTGTCCTCATTGTCTACACCTCTTATTATGGTGACAGTTGTAAAGTTTTGGATTTGCCATCAATTTCTAATCAGTGATAATGTTTATAACAACACACAGAGCGGGTGAATCTCCCCAAATAGAACACAGGCAGGAATAAAAACTTTCATTACCAATCCATCCTGCACCTGTTCCTGTTATACCTTGTAGAAAAAAGAATGGGGAGGAGGTGTTATTGCACAGCCTATGGTGATACTGGGGTTGATTTACTAAAACTGGAGAGTACAAAATTTGGTGTAGCCAATCAGCTTCTAACTTCAGTTTATTCAATTAAGCTTTGACAATAAAACCTGGAAGCTGATTGGTTTCTGTGCAGCACTGCACCAAATTTTGCACTCTTAGTGTTAGTAAATCTACTGTGTAGACCTAATGTAAAAGACAATCCCAACGACTCCTAAAAATGTTACATCCCCCATTATTCTAGCTATCCTGCATACCCTGTATGAAATATATCTATGTACTTACCTATTTTAAATTCTGTCCAGTCACATGATTCAGTAGCTCTGGCTCCCCTGTGTCAGTGATTGACTGCTGCAGGGGAGAGAAAGGACAAAAGCTGGACATTGGAGGCAATGGGAGATGTCACAGATCCTGGAATTCAAGTAAAACTATTGGCAAACCTTTTTAATTAATTATGGATACAGTAAGGGAGGCTTATAACCCCTATCAGATTTTTTTTCCGCTGTGTCCCATTGCTGAGATTTCCCTTCCCGTCCCATAGCCAAACAGGAAGTGAGAGGTATTCCCTGCAAATTAAGGGCACGGCTTGGGGACCCCAAGGTCACCAGTACTAGTGTCCTCATTTGAAGATTACTGGTCTGGGGACAACCCCAAATTTGGCACAGACAGCAATAAAAACTGACAGCAGGCATCTTGATTGACGTTGGATCTACTTCGGGGAACATTTTATTTATTTTTGTTTTTTAATAAAGGACTTGTCAAAGACTGTTTATTGTCATTTTATACACTACATCTTTTTGGGGAGAATGAGTAGTGGTACCATGTACCTCATACTTATTCACATGGGGGGCAGGATCTGAGGGCCCCCTTGTTAAATGGGGCTTCCAGATTCTGATTAGCTGCCCACCCACAGATGGGGACAAGGTGCTTTGGGGGAAGCCCCCCTGCCCCAAAGCACCCCCCATGTTGAGGGCTTGGTATGTGGCCTGGTATGGTTCAGGAGGGAGGGGGCCCGCTTGCCCCCCCTTTCCTGACCTTCCAGGCAGCATGCTTAGATAAGGGTCTGGTAGGGATTATGGGGGGACCCTTACACCATTAAAAAAAAAATTACCGTATTTTCCGGCGTATAAGACGACTGGGCGTATAAGACGACCCCCCTACTTTTCCTGTTAAAATATAGGGTTTGACCTATACTCGCCGTATAAGACTACCCCTCTTCCAACGCACACCAAATAAAAATGAAAAAACATCAGATTTGATTTCAATATGGTAATTTTAATTCAAATGCTTATGACATGCAAATACCTAGCAGGAAAACTGTCACTTATAAACATAAGGCTGTTTGTCATCAAACATGTAAACATAAAACAGTGCAAGTGGATTAAACTTTTCCTAATTCACTCTAAAGCTGAAAGGAAGGATAAGACAATAAACCCATGGCAGCTGCCATGCTCTTTGTTTTCTAAGCAGTCAACCAAACTGGAACTGATGATGATAGGCGGAAGATAAACAATAGAAAGAGATCAAGTTCCTGGCGAGTCAGCAACACCCATCATAACTGCAAGATTTTGCTGGTGTGACAGTTTCCCTTTAAAAAGCCTTCAAAATCCTCCTGTTCGTCATCTGATATCATAAGTTCATCAATGACATCTTGTGATACATTTGTAAGGCAGTCATCGTATGGATCTAATTCCGTATCAGATGGTGTGCTCTCAGCTTCCTCTTCATCTTGCCACAAGTAGTCATCCTCCATACCATCTAATGAATTTGATATGCCACACTTCTTGAAAGACTTGACTACTGTTTCTGCATCAATATCATTCCAGGCTTTTATGACAAACTTGCACAAAACATCCAACTGTGGAGAACGCATATGTTTCCTCCTTTTGTGAATGACTTTTCGCCGCTAACCATCCACTCATTCCACTGTTCTCGAATGCGATCTTTAAATGGCTTGTTTAGGCACACATCCAGTGGCTGTACCAACGATGTCAATCCTGCAGGAATAACTGCCACATCTGTGTTTATTCTTGCAAGCCTTTGCTTGGTGCTGGGAGTTAAAATGAGCCCTGAACATATCCCACACCAGTAGACTACGTTTTTGACGAAGTCCACCTGGTCGCCTGCTCCATACATTATCAAGCCATACCCCTTCTTCATCCATCCAGCCTTTTTCATTCATGTACAAAACAACCAACAGGGAACTTGAGTTTCGGCATTGTTTTTCTTTTAAAAATAATCATTGGTCTCAGTTTGGCGCCATCAGCTGTGCATGCTAGTACCACTGTAAAACTGGACTTCTCATGTCCTGTTGTTTTAATTAAAATTGTTTTTTCACCTTTTGGATGGACAGTTTTATTTCCAACCATATCAAAATTCATTGGAGTTTCATCCATATTTCCGATACTACTTAACGCATAGCCATGTTTATTGCACTGTTGTATTACGTATCGATAGAAACTATTTACTTTGGCATCAAGATCTGCAGGTAATTTTTGTGCAATTTTCGTCTTTTGCCTCAGTGTCATATTATGCCTTTCCAAGAATCTAGTACACCAGGATACAGTGGCCTTAAATCTGTTGCTGTGATCTGGGTTAGATTTGGCCCACTGAAGTGCAAACAAACGTATTTTTATTTCGTGTCACTATATAACCGTTTTGGCGATGCTCATTCACCATGTCTGCTACATGTTTTTCGAGTTCTGGCCAATGTGGGGTGCCTCTTCTTAATGCACACTTACCCCTTGGCATACTCTTTAATGCTTTTTCATTTGCTTTCCAGTCCCGAACCATCTTTTCTGTTACTCCATATTTTCTTGCAGCAGCACAGTTATTATGTTCCATGGCAAAGTTTACAACTTTAAGTTTGAAACTGGCTTCATATTTCTTTCTTCTTGCTGGGGGAGCCATGATGGGGTCTTGACTGTTATCCATTTGTATACTGTACTGTATGAACCGGTACAGATACTGGAGCTGTACTGTATGAACCGGTAAAGATACTGGAGCTGTACTGTACGAACTGTTAAAGATACTGGTGCTGTACTGTACGAACCGGTAAAGATACTGGTGCTGTACTGTATGAACCGGTACAGATACTGGTGCTGTACTGTAAGAACCGGTACAGATACTGGTGCTGTACTGTAAGAACTGTTAAAGATACTGGTGCTGTACTGTAGTACGAACCGGTAAAGATACTGGTGCTGTACTGTATGAACCGGTAGATACTGGTGCTGTACTGTATGAACTGGTAGATACTGGTGCTGTACTGTATGAACTGGTAAAGATACTGGTGCTGTACTGTATTCACCACCACATGTATCTGCTCACCAGATAGACTCTGTTTTTTCACCACAGATAAGATGCACACCAAACTTCATTAGAGATGGCCAACATTAGAATTGGCTGAAGTGCAGATGCTCCTGCTTCCCCCCCCTGCCTTCCCTCAGAATAGCCTATACAACAACCAACCAATCACGGCAAGCGATGTACAGTATTTTCTGTGCACACTGTGCACACTGCATACAAAGCCTGCTTGGATTGGGTGGGTCAGCTCTCCCTGCCTGCCCAGCCCTGCCTGTCTCCAAGATACCATAAATTGCACAGAACTGCCACAGACATTATAATATTAATAATTACCGTATCTCATAGAAGTTAAGGGGACAAGGTCGGATGCAGCAGTACCATACCGGTACTTCCGAGCTGACGCTTCTGCACATGTCTTCGGCAGCAGTAGACGATCACTGATCACCATTCCTCGCAGAACTGCATGCATGAGACGTCGGATGCAGCCGTTCAGTGCTCGATTGATCGTGACTGAAACTGTGACATGCACAGAATCACTGTGTATCCCTTCTCTGCATATCAGTTTCAGTCAAGCTCAATCGAGCACTGCTGCATCCGACGTCTCATGCAGTTCTGCGAGCTATGGTGATCCGCGATCGTCTACTGCTGCCGAAGACATGCGCAGTAGCGTCAACCCGGAAGTACGGTAAAGTTTCAGCACAGCACCCGGCGTATAAGACGACCCCCGACTTTGCAGACGATTTCCAGGGGTTAAAATGTCGTCTTATACGCCGGAAAATACGGTAGTATGTAGGGGTTCCGCTCAAAATCCATATCAGACCTGAAGTGCTTGATATGGATGAGGGAGACCCCACGTGGTTTAATTTTAAATTTTTTTAATTGCCAGGCAATACTTCTATTTACATTCAGCTGTCAGCAGGGAATCCCACTGACAAATGAAACATTAAAGGATGTTTTCACTACTAAAATACCGTATTACTTAATAATAATATACCTCCTAGGCATACAGGAGGCATGCACCTAGGCATGCAGACTGCTTCTACAAACATTTGTGAAAGAATGGGTCGCTCTCAGAAGCTCAGTGAATTCAAGTGTAATACTGTGATAGGTTGCCACCTGTGCAATAAGTCCATCTGTGAGATTTCCTTGCTACTAAATATTCCACGGTCAACTGTTAGTGGTATTATAACCAAGTGGAAGCAACTTGGAACAATAGCAACTCAGCCACGAAGTGGTAGGTCACATAAAATAACAGAGCGGGGTCATTCGCATGCTGAAGCGCACAGTGCGCATAAGTCGGCAACTGTCTGCAGAGTCAATAACTAAAGACCTCCAAACTTCGTGTGGCCTTCAGGTGAGCAAAACAACAATGCATAGAGAGCTTCATGGAATGGGTTTCCATGGCCGAGCAGCTGCATATAAGCCTTACAAAGCACAATGCAAAGCGTCAGATGCACTGACTCTAGAGCAGTGGAGATGTGTTCCCTGGAGTGATGAATCATGCTTCTCTGTCTGTAAATCCGATGGACGTGTCTGGGTTTGGCGGTTACCAGGAAACGGTACTTGCCTGATTGCATTGTGCCAAATGTAAAGTTTGGTGGAGGAGGGATTATAGTGTGGGGTCACTTTTCAGGGGTTGGGCTTGGCCCCTTAGTTCCAGTGAAGGGAACTCTTCTGGCTTCAGCATACCAGGACATTTTTAACAATTTCATGCTCCCAACTTTGTGGGAACAGTTTGGGGGTGACCCCTTCCTTTTCCAACATGGCTGCGCACCAGTGCACAAAGCAAGGTCCATAAAGACATGGATTAGTTTGGGGTGGAGGATCTTGACTGACCTGCACTGAGACCTGACCTAAACCTGATAGAACACCTTTGGAATGAATTAGAGCGGAGTCAGGCCTTCTCATCAAACATCAGTGCATGACCTCACAAATATGTAAACATATCCAGTATATATGCACTCTGTAAAGACTGTATTTTAAATAATTCTTACTGTATGCACGGAAACCTAAATCTGTCATTTTATTTCCAAAATGTAAAAAAAAAAATAAGATAATAGTTTAATTATATTTAAGAAAAATATAGATATAATGAATCTTAGACCATTTTTTTGATATTATGTACTAAATGCAGACAAGACCATAGAGTCCCAGTATTTTAAATAACCTTGATTCATCATTCATTTAATTTGTCTGATCCATTTGCAAATCATTTTCAGCAAGACATTATTTTAATACATTTATGCAAATGTTGCAAAACGAAGTTGAGGCAAATGTAATTCTAGTGACTAATATAAGTGCATCTCTAACTATAAATCAATCATATTTCTCCTAAATAACATAATTATATCACTAAGACACCTCATGACAACTTAATGTTATCAGATTGACTTTATTGAGAGCTGGTCTTTGCAGAAAGAAATTATCGTCCAGATAATGCTAGAGTTTTAGAAATACCTATAGATGGACACATTCCACATTGCCTGTACTGAAAATATTTCAAAATAATTATACTATAATGATGGAACCTGGAAATAATATTTTATGACAATGTTCTTGGTCCCTATCCTCAGTTCTGGTGGTTGTAACTACTGCATAGACAAAGTCTAAAGTAACATGGTTTCCATTAAAGTGAATGTATAGCCAAAACTTTTGTTTTGCTAATTTTGAGCAGGGAAAGGATTAAAACTGATGTCAGTGCATTTTTACCTAATGTGTCCATGTCCAATTGGTGATGTTTTCCCTCACGTTCTGTCCTGTATGAGAGGAAGACTCTCCAAAGTAAGGGAAAATCCTCCTCTGCCCCCATTGGTGGATTTACCATCACCTCTTATTCTGGCGGTAACTGTAAGATTTAGCATTCTTCATCATTTTAAGTCTTGGTGATATTGGTCATTATGACAAATAAGGGCCTTTTTTGACAGGATTTGTGCTTGCCTGAGATGCTTTGCAAATATATCAGAATTCACTGACAAGTGCATTTTACCTTCTTCTGACCTGCATTAAACCTATTTTAAGTTGTGATTTGCATACCCATAGACTTGAATGAGAAATCAAAACCCACTGAAACCAACAAAAGCCAAACATCACATGTCCATAAGAGGGAAAATCTAACCAGTGATGACATACTGAAAAAAAAGCTTGAATAGGATTCTAATCCTTCAAAACTCTATCCAAAACCAAAAAAAAAAAACTGCATTACACTGCTTTGTTGATGGACTAGCTTTCCATTATAAACTTGCATTTCCGGGGATGCCTCAAAGTCACAAAAGCCACTTGGGTGATCCTTAGAAAGAAACTCTACTGTATATTCAAAATACACCCAATAACCCAAATTTAGTAAATTGTGTTATGTTGTACATTCAAAATTTATTAGGATCATTCATATGCAGCTTTGAAATACAAAGTTCCGCCTGCCTCTCCACCTTAGCCAATCAGAAGAAACTTTATATTCATTCAAAAAATAGAAAACTGCTTGTGAGTGCCACTCAACCCAACTCAACTTTGTTCCACATGTTTGCCTCCCACAGTTGGAATACTAAGTTGTATACTGTATGTTGCTGAGACTACATACAGGGTTTTATTTACTATCTGAAGAGTGCAAAATCAGGTTCACTTCTGCTGAGAAACCAATCAGCTTCCAGGTTTCACTGTCAAAGCTTAAGTGAACAAGCTCTGGTTAGAAGCTGATTGGCTGCCATGCACAGTTGCACCAGTTTTGGTAAATCTACCCCACAGTCTATATAGTGCATGCAGCGAGGTGCAGGTTCAGGGAGCACAAATATTTAACCACTTTACAACAATGCTATAGCCAAATGATGGCTACAGCACAGTTGGCCAGTTCGGGAGGGCGTCATATGACATCTTCCCAGAATGCGCCCCCAGCGACGCGCACCTGGCGCTGTCAGTGATCGCTGTGTCCTATGGACACAGCTTATCACATGACTAGGTAAAATGCCGATCACAGCGGTCTTTTACCACATGATCAGCTGTGTCCAATGACACAGCAGATCACAAAGTAAATACAGCTGCCGGTTATCGGCAGCATTTCCTTGTGCTGTCACAGTGTGAGGAAAGTACTGCCGATAACTGGCAAATGTCACAGAGGACATCTGCACTGATGATCAGTGCCCTGATCATCATTGCCACGCATCAGCGCCCAACAGTGCCGCCCATTAGCACCCAACACTGCCACCCACTAGTGCCCAGCAGTGCCACCCATCAGTGCCCAGCAGTGCCACCCACGAGTGCCCCTCAGTGCCCAGCAGTGCCACCCATCAGTGCTGCCCAGCAGTGACACCCATCAGTGCTGCCAGTCAGTGCCATCGGTCAGTGCCACCAGCCAGTGCTGTCAGTCAGTGCCGCCAGTCATTGTCACCCATCAGTGCCCATAAGTGCTGCCTATCAGTGCCACCTGTCAGTGCCCATCAGTGCCACCTATCAGTGCCCATAATTGCTGCATATCAGTGCAGCAGCATCAGTGCCTCCTCATCAATGTTCACCAGTGCCGCCTCATCAGTGCCACCACATCAGTGCAGCCTATTAGTGCCCATAAGTGCTTCTATCCATGCCACCTCATCAGTGTCCATCAGTGCTGTCTATCAGTGCTCATCACTGCTGCCTATCAATGCAGCCTCATCAACGCACATGTGTGAAGGAGAAAAAATACCCTGTCTGCAAAATTTTATAATAGGAACAAAGAAAAACTTTTTTTTTTTCAAATTTTCTGCTCTTTTTTTGGTTTATAGTGCAAAAAATAAAAAAAAAAAAAATGCGTATACAATTGCAATATAAGTCACATTGTAATTGAATGTTATTAAAAATTACCTTTCTTTTCAATCTGCAGCAAACGCCCCTGCCTCTAAACTCCTGTAAATGCCTCAAGTGTGCATAGACACTGTGCATTTTGTAAAATGCAATGCAAAACCAAAACCATTACCTGTTCTGTAGAAAAATGCCCCCAGATATGTAATTTCCTGCTTGTGTGATTGGCTTACTGATTTTCCCAGAAGTCTGCACAAATATGAACTAAGTGAGATCTGGAGCATCCCCTGCAGCAAAAATGGCATTTTTTTTGGTGAGATACTCCCAAGGGAAACATCTAAATGGACACAGACAGACAGCTACTCCTTCAGAATAACAAAAGGTAGCAATCTGCAACAAATTGTGATACAATCCTTGCAATGTGCAGAGTTCTCCCAGAGGGGAATATTTTTTCTCAGGAAAAGTAGAGTTACTCTTTAAGTGTTCATGTAATAATATGACTGAGAGAATCCAACTGGTGGTTCATTACAATTCAATTTACACAATTTAGTGGTTCAACTGTATTCTTGAATGATTGTAAATGACCTGAGAACATCATTCACTTTAATGATGTAGACCCGTTTACAAAAAGGTAAGCCAGACTTTACAAGCTTTTTGCTTTAGGAGCTTCTCAAGGAAAGTGTTCAGGTCCTATTTCACAAAGGCTTCCAAATGGTGATCTACAAGCAATGTGAACACCAGGCATACAGTATATACAAATGTCAACAAGTTCCGAACACTTTTGCCCCCTTCCTGTCCAGGCCAATTTTCAGCTTTCACTACAATCACACTTTGAATGGCAATTGCACGGTCATGCAACACTGTACCAATATGCAACATGCAATATGCAATATGCAATACTGTACAATTTTTAGCATTTTTTGTGACAGATAAAACTTTATTTTGGTGGTATTTATTCACCACTTGGATTTTTATTTTTGCTAAATAAATGAACATGTCCAAAAATGTTGAAAAAAAGTGTTTTTCTTATAAAATTTTGTAAATAAATAATCTTTCTTCATAAATCTTGGCCAAAATGTATTCAGTTATCTTTTTAGTAAGAAAAAAACCCTCAAATTAGTTTATAACCAAAAATTATATTTTTTTAAACTTTTTTTGCACTTTTATTTTATTTTTTTTTATATTATTATTTATGGGTTTTTTTTTTATATACTGTCACTCTAAAGGCTGTAAAAGCAATCATTTCTCCTTCTTTCTGGATTCATTCTTTCAGCCATTGAGAAATACTCTGTGAGCTGTGATTGGTCACAGCTAGTCACATGGCACAAGGCTGTTGTGAATAGCCCTGTAGCATGAGATCTCTGTGATCATTCACAGATTTCACAAGTAGTAAGCAATGATGTCAGAAGTGACACCTTGCTTACTACTATTCATGTGATCACTGATTAGCCAATCAGTGATCACATGATTGGGACCTCATATAGAGGTCAGGTACAACGATCGGTGTTCCACTGTGTCCTCCGGACACAGCGGGCACCGGATCGCAGTGCTGCGCGCTCCCAGGGAGCTTGTACAAACAGGGAAGTGGGGAGGACATTTATAAACGGCCACCAACCCCTGCACTGCTCCTCTCCGGCCGTTTATATACATGGGCCAGACAGGAAGTGGTTAAAGCAGTTTTGGAGATTTGAATACAGACCTTAAGGTAGTTCTAAAGTCAAAAGGCTTTAAACACTAATACATTCTATTCAAAATCCAGTTGCAGCTCCCCCCCCAACCCCATTCCCTAAATACGTACATCCTACATCGAATCCAACCCTGTGCTCAACTGC